GGCACTCTCAGGAATCTTCTTTTGCATCGGCCCTAAAACCTCGAGACTGTAGTTGCTTTTTTTCGTTGTAGATTAGTTGATCAGTGATTTATTTGTTTTTTGTTGCTCTTGGAAATGCAAATAGTACTCTGGCAGCACAGCGCACACTTCTCAGTCTCACTCTGTCCCCTGGCATGCCCGCTCCAGACCCGTCGTCATCTTGCTCATTTGCTTTATTGACAGCCATTGCTTCTCTTGCTAAAGTTGATCTGAGGTAATTTACAGAAAGTGAATGTATATTCAATTTTGCTTACTTTTTTTTTTTCCCCTGTAAGGTGAAGTGGCTATTTTGGACTATGGTTACTGGACTATCTGGAACTCTGAATACAAATTTCTGGAACTTGTTTCTGGGGAGTTTCATATAAAATTAAGGAAATGAAACTCCCCAGTTGTTTCTGGGGAATTTTATATGAAATCAAATGAAATGTGTCAGCCTTGAAAATGTCCCAAGTGCCAAGAAACAACCTTTGCTAATAAGGTTATGCAAATCTCTGTGGCTAAGCAGTATTGGTCTTTATGTTCCTTAATAAAGGAACAATCTGGAAATTCATTTTTTCTAATTACTATTTTAGTTAATCCCACCAGGTCATGTGCCCAAATTGTTTATCTCTTGCTAACGACTAATAGTTTATAATGTTAATATTGACAATAATAATAACAGCTACCATTGATTGAGTGCTTCCTAGGTACCAGGTACTGTACTAGGTGATTTTCTTAAAATAATCTCAATTAAACATAATTTAATTTGAATTATACCAATTTTGAGCAGCAGCAATAGCTAACATTCATTTAATAAGTGCTAGCCACGGCATTAAGACATTTTCATGTATTATCTCCTTTACTCATTACAACAACCTTACAGGCAAAAGTTCTGTTTTTAATCCTTTTGTACATATAAAAACCTTGAGACGCAAGTGAGATTAATTTCTGTAACGTTACATGGCTATCCAGTGATAGATGCAGGATTTAAATACTGACAGTTTAACTCGAGACCTATGTGTCCTTTTGAGGGGTTAATAAATATTTAAGAAATTGTATCTGTAAATATAAGCATGTAAAGTGACTACAGAAGTATAATCTCAGTATTTTGAATTCACTCTTTTTTAATATCCGAAGCCCTAGTACCTTTTATTGATTCACTTTTGAGATATGTTTCTTGTCTTGGATTCATAGTGTTTTTAATAATTAAGGAAAGTTTCAACAGTTCATTTATCTTGTGGTGTAGCAGAGAGGAGATTTAGTGTGTTCCCTCCTGGAATAAAATCCATTTTATTTTTTCCTGTTTAAACAGTTTTATTCAGAAGGTAGATGCAATATTAGTTAAAGGGCTTTAGGCTGCATGTAACATAAAACCTCAAATAGAATAGATTGAACTCGGAAAGTTATGATGTTACACAATAAAGACGAATATGGAGGTTTCCTTAATTCAACACTGTAATATCAAAAACTACCCAGCCCTTTCCATCGCTCTGCCTGGTCATCCTCAACACATCAGGAGTGTTTTCTGTTGTGATCACAAAGCACATCAGTTCCAGTCCAATAAAGATGGTGATACCAAGGAAATAGAATGTGATTGTTCCTGTGAACCTCTCTCTCTTTCTTTTTAATTCATAGACTTTATTTTCTAGAGCAGTTTTAGGTTTACAGAAAAGTAAAGCAGGAAGTACAGAGAGTTCCCTTATACGCCCCCACTTCTCCCAGTTTCTCCTATTAACATTTTCCATTAGTGTGGTATACATGTCACAGTTGATGAACCAATATTGATATATCATTATTAACTAAAGTCCATAGTTTACAGTAGTGTTCACTCTTTGTGTTGTACAGTTCTAAGGGGTTTTAACAAATGCATAATGGTACATACTCACCATTGCAGGGTCGTACAGGGTAGTTTTCCCGCACTAAACATCTTCTGTGTTCCACCTATTCATCCCTACTCTCTTCCTTAACCCGTGTCAACCACTGATGTTTTTACCGTCTCCATAGTTTTTCCTTTTCCAGAATGCCATGTAGTTGGAATCATACAAAATATAGCCTTTACAGACTGGCTTCTTTTGCTTAATAATATGCATTTAAGTTTCTTTCATGTCTTTTCATGGCTTGATAGATATTTCTGAATCACTGAATAATATTCCTTTGTGTGGATATACCACAACTTGTTTATCTATTCACCTGTTAAAGGACATCCTGGTTGCTGCCAACTTCTGATGGCAATCATCAGTAAAGCCTGCTATAAACACTTCTGTGCAGGTCTTTGTGTGGACGTTAAGTTTTCAACTCATTTTGGTCATTACCTAGGGGCACAATTGCTAGATCATATGGTCAGACCATGTTTTGCTTGGTAAGACACTGTCAAACTGTCTTCCAAAGTGACTCCACTATTTCAAATCTTTTTTATTAATAACTTATTATTAAATATCCATTTATTAATCTTTTCTGCCAGTGACAAATCCCCTCTGCAGGGTTCCCTCAGGTTCTAAGGTTGGGTCTAATGCCCATTCCTAAACCAGTGGGGGGAGGGGCAGCAGACTGCAGTGGTTGTCTTAAACGAGGCAGGTTCATCGCTGCTGCTAGGCCTCCAGCCAAGAGGGAGACATTGTGCCTGAGCACACTGCTGAGTAAAGAGGGTGTGAGGAAGAGGAATGCCCAGTTGGAATTGGCTATGCCAGCAAGTGAGAAAGACGGTGGAAGGAAAAGGTGGTTGATAGAGAGAGGCAACTAAGACTGTCTGGATGCTGCCTAACCAGGCCGTTTCTTTCCTTTCCTTTCCTTTCTCTTCTTTGTTTTTTTTTTTTTTTTTTTTTTTTTTTTTTTTTAGCTCAGCTTGCCATTCTAAATCTAGGTTTACTGCAGAAAGCGGGCTTCAGGGTTTTCAGATTTCATGCTCTCAACCATCACCCCTAACTTTCAACCTCAGATCACATGGACATTTTCAAACATTTGGCCATTGCTTCTAAAGTTGTGGTATTGGAAAAAAATATAAATTGCTGGAAATGAACAAATTAACTTAAATAATTGTTACACATTATTAATATTGGGCAATAATAAAAACTCCTCACTGGCACAGAATTAGTCCATTATTACAAATATGCCTGTTTCTAGTCTTGGTTCCGTCATTAATGAGCCATGTGTGACTGAGCAGGTCTCTTGTCTTAGCAGGCCTCAGTGCCTTTGGCTATAAAATGAGGAGGTGAGACTAAATAATCTCTAGTGCCTCTTTTATTGTAAAATTGTATCAATCTGTGACTTGTTGCAAGCATAAAAGGAATTCCTGAGCATCAAAATACATCAAGTCATAAAGAATTAAGATTTTGGTGAGCTGTAATCTGTTTTTATCACATCTGTGAAGGACTTTATTACCCTATTTAATTGCCCCTAGCCAAGGTTAATTAAGTGTGTTTAAGTTCTCTCTTACTGTACAATGTGTTTCTCGCTATTCTTTGCTCAAGAGTTTATTTTTTTTCCTTTGACATCTCTGATCAATAGCTGTCAGCATGCTTTTTGGAGATCAGTGGCTTCTTTTCTGCACTTGACTGGCAGGTGGCACTTGTGAAGTCCTGCACGCTTTGCCTTCCTTCTGGCTATTAGTGCCCTCTTAGTTCTTGGCAGGGTGCAGAGAAAGGATCAAGCAACCCAAGGATTTCCCCCACAGACTGACATTCATTTTGGTATTCATCTTCCCTGTTGAGGAAAGGACAAAGAAGGCATAATTAAGAAAATGATGGTGCTCCTTCCTTGTTGCCAGAGACCTTTCCCATTATCACTGTTGCTCTTACTTACGTTGCTGTTTACCCCTTAGTGGCAGTAATTCTTAGAAGGTTTCGCCTTTCTGTCAGCCTGTTTTCCTGCCTTTGAAAATCTCAGGTTTGAAATGGAATCTCCCAGCACATCAAAGGATTCAGTTCGTTAGAGTCATAATTTTACCTATTTTTTTTCTTACCTGCAAATTTCTTTTAAGACTGATTTGTTTCTGTTTTTTCTTTTTTTGTATTCAGTTTTTGGCTTTTAGAGACCTGTTTTTTTTTTTTTTTTTTATCATGCGTCTATTCCCCATGTTCCTCTGTTTTTTCTTTTTTTGTATTCAGTTTTTGGCTTTTAGAGACCTGTTTTTTTTTTTTTTTATCATGCGTCTATTCCCCATGTTCCTGACTTCTGAAATAGTTCTTGGGAACGAACATTTTGAAGCTTGGTATTTTTGAGGGCATTTTAAGTGGTAGGTGGCAGATCAAAAAACTAACAGCCGTTTAGAAATGTTATTGCTTTTTAGGACATTTACAGAGAGACCACAGCTGCCTTGATTTCTTTGGTGTGGTTATTCACCAGCATTTCTAGTATGCCTTTGCACTAGTTCTCTATTGGGGGGGCCGGGGGGGAGTTAGAAAGGCAGGAGGTCTGCTCTAAAGAACCAGTATGTCTGTGGGGGCAGCTAGCAGTTGCTGATGGTTTTTGAGCTTGAGGGAATGACTTTATAGGAGGATGCTGTTATCGCTGTGTGTAGGGATCCTGGCAAAGGGGAATGGTGATCTGAAGGCAAAAGAAAGTTGGGGCAGATCAGAGCTGTACCAGTTGAAATGGAAGATAAGCAAGAGATCCAAATACTATTGTAAAAGAGCGTTAGCCATGAATATTGCTCATAAATCAAGGTCTATGGCAGCTGTCCCTGGCCCTGTTATGGCATAGCCAGAATGTCTTGATCATGGAACATCAGGGAGTATCACACAGACCAGAGTAGAATACTTTTGGAAGACATAGCACAACGCCACCTACCTGGTTGCAACCTAACCATTTGTTTACCCTGTTGTTTTGTTGCAGGTTCGAATCATCCTCCCATGCCATCAGCATGAGCGCCTATTTGCGAGAACAGAGAAGGGAGCTTTATAGCAGGAGCGGAGAACTTCAAGGTAGGTGATTGGAATTCTCTGGGAAAATTAATTTTCTGGAGGAAAATCTGAAGCATTTATAGTATATAAATTTGTGGTCTGTATTCACATGATTCTTTCAAGATAACAAAAATTTAATGACTTGATAATCTGTTTCTTCTATCATTTCCCGGCATCTGCTGCCAAGCAGTTATAACTATTACTGTAGCCACAGGATTTATAGACCTGCTATCATTCAAATAGGAATTCAAAGCATAAGGAGATGAGGCCAGGCTCTTACTTAGATAGCAGACATGAGTCCTGTCACAGTCTAGGAGAGTGCCTGTCTTTTGTGGTTGCCACTGTTATTTTTAATGATATTGATACCTTGTGGAATATGGTAGGAGTACTTGGGATTTAGAAAAATGCAAATGCAAAAAACCTCTGTCATTATTTGAAGGGAAGAAGGGTGCCTCTAAATAGTGTGGTATAATCAATATAACTTTGATACACAGGATAGTTGATATCCATGTGTGGTTACTAAAGAGTTGTAATCTGTAGAAGAAAATACTTAGAAAACATGAGTATAATGTGAGCTAAGTGTAAGATATCCTAGGCATTGGAAGGGATGGAAGTCAGATACAAAGAAATGTAAGATAAAGCCTTAAGATCCAGTTATGAAAGTAAGGCATATATATATATATATATATGAGGGTACTTCAAAAAGTTAGTGGAAAAATAGAATTAAAAGATAATACAAATCTTTCCATGAAGTCTTTGAAGTACCCTTGTAGATATGTGTGTATGTATATGTATATACACACACATACACATACCCACACCAATAACTAACAACTAAGTGCTAAGTGGGTGGTATGCATAAAACTACTAGAAGACTTATGAGAAGCGGGTGATTATTTGCATTATTATAGAACTCTGGGTTTTCTCCATGAAGGATAGGTAGGAATGCTTTTCCTGTCTTTGATGCATTGGGGGCATTTGGAGTATTTTGCAGCAACTAGCCTACACAATTAAATATTTAGTTTTTAAGATTCATCATCGTTTTACATCAAAACACTATGAAATAGCGAGCTTTTCTGAATTTAAAAACTGTTGCCTAGTCACTCTTACCTTTACCTTCATTAGTAATCTAATAACCCATAAATTTTTCCAGAGATCCTGTTATGCTGTCTCATATTTATATCACAGTAATAGTTCCATAGCTCATATATTTGGTTACCAGAACTAAAAGCCTACAATGATCTCTAGGGTATTAGGAAAAAGAGATTAGCCTACCGACATTTTATTTAATATTAAAGTGTTGGCATTCATTCTGGAATATATGCAGTGTATGTCTTGGAGTCTTGATGTACAGGAGTACAGAGAGTGGTTAGAGCTGGAACAAATGAAGGAGTGACCCCTCTGTTGTCGGACAAGGAGTGAAGGAGGAAGGTGTCCCAGGCTCTAGCTGGCAGCCACCTCCCAGGAGAATAGGGTGGGCTCCAAAGCGTGGAGAAAATGATGTAACAGAATACATGTTCTTGTAGATGTTAGGAATTGGCCTAAGGAATAGTTTAAATTTCCCTCCATAATTTCTCTCAGTGTCTTCTCTATATTACATTTCTTTAATGGCGACCAAACCCTTTTTAAAAATTTTTTATTTTTACTTTTATTTATTTTTTTTTCCTTTTTGTCTTTTTTTTACTGACTGATAACGGTATCGCAACCCTCGGTGTCGCGCCCGTACCGGGGATCGGCAACGGGATCGCAACCCTCGGTGTCGCGCCCGTACCGGGGATCGGCAACGGGATCGCAACCCTTGGCGCTGTGCCCGCACCGCACTCAGCCAATG